AAATATTAACGAATGAGCCTATTTTCCAATACTCGGATATTAAGAAGGAATTTGTAATAACCACCGACGCCTCCGACGTAGCAGTGGGAGCTGTTTTATCACAAGGACCTATTAGATCAGATAGGCCAATATGTTACTTTAGGAGAACCCTATCACCAACCGAACGACGGTACTCCACTATAGAAAAGGAATTGTTGGCAATAGTCTACGCCGTTAAACATTTTCGACCTTACGTATATGACCGGAAATTTACAATATACACTGATCATAAACCATTGGTATTTTTGTGGAGTTCGAAAGAACCAAGTATTATTTTTTTTCTCAGAAATTATTAAATTTTCGAAGAACATCAAAGAGACAAAAAAGTTTTAGAATAGTTTTATCTATCTAACTGAAATTTTTCCAATGTATTTATCATCTTCATTAAAAAATCTAAGCATAAATTGAACGGGGGTGGTTACGTTTCGTAGTTTAGAAGCGTAGGTCCTTAGGGGAGCCGAAGTCGCCCATGGTTCATATATCAAAGTACCCTTAAATTCACTAAAGAATCACCCCTTGAAGTTTGTTGCAGTCATTTAGGTACAACCTGTATAAGACCTCAATTTTAATAATGTGTGTTACATATAGACATAGGATTTGTAAGACGGGGAATTTCGGTTCGCGCAGATGTGGATTGGTAGTGCGGGTGAGCGCGGGGGGGATTGTGTCGTGGTTCGTTGGGAGGGGGGAAGAAAGGGACAGTCGGGGTTTGAAACCGTTGAAACCTAACGTGTGTGTTACGAAGAGAGGTTAAGAAAAAGACTATTCAGAGATTGTCGTAGTTTATTCGATTATTATCATATATATACTTTTTCATGAGGATAAATTAAATAGAGTTCTCAGTCTTGTGTGTGGTATTTATTTCTTACAGATTCAAGTAAAATAGTTTGGATAACGTTTATACAGTGTTTCCCCGGATTGTGTCCCCGTAAGGTATAATTGACGATAAATTTTTGAATTCAAATTCCATCTTTTGCAATTAAAGTCTGGATGTCATAAAACGAAATATAACCAAGTTTTACGTCAAATATCCTCAAAGTACCAAAGTTAACGCAAGAAGTTTGTTAACCGTTGCAGGTAAAGTGGTCTTTCTGAGCAATGTACAACAAAAGTTGATTAAGATAAAATGTTTGTTATGTTAAATTATAGCGATATGCCGAATTTTATTAATGTAGGATATAAGAGCAAAATGTGCAGGTTTT